CGCTATATGCAGGGCACCAACGGGCCGGGGGGGGAGAGGAGGACCCGTGTATTCACGGGGTCAAGATTTTGTCGCGCCCCTCAAAAAATTTTACGGGCCGGCCACGTTTGCGGGATCTGTTCGGGCGGGATTTTCCGTGCCGACCCGCACTTTGGCGATTATTTTGCGGGTCGGGGCTTTTTGTGGGTCTGCTAGAGATGCTCTAAGAGCATAGTGAGTTTTAAGTTTCAATCGTTGAAACTTTTGAGTTTTCAACTCAAACTTGCGATCTTCTCGCTCATTTTTACCAAGTTTTATAGATAAAATTATAAGACATTTTTCTGTCAGTGATAGATACAAAATTCGAGATTCTCATACTAAGTTTCAAGAGTTGAAACTTAATGTTTATTTTCAAATTTTGACAAAACGTATTCAAAATGAATCTTATTTGAAAGTTCTCATCCCCAAAAACACAAATGTGAAAACATAACTTAATTTAAACTTTTTGTCATAAAGATATAAAGTTTTAAAATCGAGAGCCAAAAATAATAGCACGCGTGCTTCAAGTCCTCTCCCACTGCCATGCATGCCTTTGACTATCACCTACCCGCTGGTATTGCGTGTGCATGGAAAGGAGGGGTCTAACTAATTGATCAAAAATTACTAATCCTTTTGCGCAGCTAGAGGAACAATTCTGTGAGTCGGCCAGACACATATATAATTCTGAACTCAAGCTGCTGCTGCATAATATTGTGTTTGTTAGTTATAGACGTTGTACTCAAAGTTTTATGTCCCTTGGCCAATCCTAGCGGCAAACTCAAGACCTCACGGCAAATATTCATGGTCTGGATTAACGTTGTTCACCCATTTATAAAGAAGTTAACCTGTTTCCTTTTACAGATTGATCCAGATCTATATGGTGATAGCAAAACACATTTTCTTCGTATACTGGACGGTATGGTGTGATCAATTTACAAATTTCATTTCATAATACAAAGACTGCATTTAACTGATATGTTCTTGAAATGTGTTTTTAATTTGAACGGAAGGCTGATAGGAAGAATGGATGTTCTAACTTGGATTGTGACGGCTTTGTACCTGTAAACTTGGCTACTATTACTCCTGGAGCCATCTCGTGGACACATGAATATTACATTGAAGATATTTAAGGTATGATTTTCAAAACACGGTAACTCTACCAGTCATACAGACATAATCCTTTTTTTAGATTACGTAATAGTTTGCACATGCTTATATTATTATTTAGCATCAAAGTATCCAAAAATCGACTTCCAAATGAAGCCAGAATAATACTATGTCCATCTTGAAATACATTTTTTTCAAAACTCGACTATTTCTGTGAGTAACAATTCAATAGAAAAATACCAACATCTATAACACCAAATTGATAAAATATGAAAAATATATTGTATGATGGATATTTTTTTACAAATTATTTCACGACGAACCTAATGATACTTTTGGTATTGTAGATATTGATGTCTTTACCTGTAAACTTGGTCAATTGAAAAGTTGAACTTTTCAAAAAATTAAACATCTTTTATGTTTTCAAAATGAAGGGAGTATGCATTTTTTGCCATTATATTTGAGTATGTTTTGTTGTGGCTGACAGGTCATGTAACTATCTTTTTACATTGATATTGTAGAGTAAAGAAGATGGAGATTGGTGGTTACACTTTGGACATGATATCAATAATCTTAGCCCAGTAGGGTATTGGCCAAAAAGTCTTCTCAATGGCATGCAAGACCATGCCGACGATATAGAATGGGTAGGAAGTACTTTTTCCTACTCCGGGGAGATTAGTCCACCAATGGGCAACGGGAATTGGCCAAGAAGCAATTCAGCAGCATCTTTTCGCAATGTTCAGTATATTGATAGGAATGGTAAAGGCTATGATCCTCCTATGGGTAGTCTTCATGCTTTTGAGAGCAACAAACAATGCTATCGGACTGGTGTATTTCAGCTTCAGGTCCAAGGCAACATGTTCTACTATGGGGGGCCAGGTGGTTGCACTGGTTAATTAGATTAATTTTGAATGACAATAACTCCAATCTAGCTTGTATTTAAAAAATAATCTGGTGAAAGAAATTGCTTCAGTTAATCTGATGTTTTGTTATGCGCCCCCTTTCAATGTATGCTCACAGTTATATGCAATTCAATTTCCTTATAGCCTATATGACAAATGCTGGCTAGAGAAAGAAGATACGAGAGTTATCACATTTCATATGCAAGTGGATATTCTTGCATGCTCCCGCGAAAAGAAGTTTTTTCATGAATGTTGTGATGTCAGTGAGGTTAGAAATCAACAAAGGGATTTCTTTTCATGGTGAGGTGACAAAGATTGCTTGTCGTTTTCATTAAGATTGGAAGCAAGAAATTTATAGGAAGAAATACATTAGGGCTTAACCACCTGCACACAAACACATAAACTTATTCTTCTAGCCTACCCGTGGCTAGTTGGGCAACATTTCACAAATCAACGTCATCGATCCTAATTTCTAAGGTTTTCTTTTTTTCAAACTAGCTGCCACTATCACAAATCCAATCCTAAATAAATGTCGATATTGTTTGCAAACCAGAGCAGCTCAACGAACAACAAATAAATCGCCCATTCAATCGACTAATCATAATTGCTAGGGTTTCGATTAGAAACGTACCTGTTGCCCACTATATCAAATGGTTCCTGTGGGATGCGATGTATCACCATGTCGCTTCGCCATCAGAGCTCAGGCGAACGGTCGGAGTGGGCAGCAGGGCTGCTAGGGCATGGCGGCGGTGGGACTGCAACGGGAACGGCGGTGACGGCTGGGTGGGGATGCGGCTGCTCGCTCAGGGTCGGGCTATTTTAGGCAAAAGAAAAGTGATAGCTCACCGTGCCCAGGTCCCACTCGTCATAAGCGGTCATGGCCACAGTCCACATGCCATTCGCCGCCCACATGTCCAAAGAACTGAGGCCCCACACGTCAGTAACTGATGAGGATGTAGCGGTCAATTGCATTGACCTGACGACAAGGCTCCGTTTGGGCTTTTGTGAGAATGGGCCAAGTGGTGGAAGGCAAAGGTGAGGAAAGTTAGATGCTATGGGCAAAACTGAGCACAACTAAGGAAGGAGGTGCACAAAAATAGAAATCCCATTATGGAATAATCACTTTGGTGCCTAAGGTGCAAGATGCTAGACAATTCAAAATTTTAGTCCAATCTATCTGCTCAATGTTAGCTTTAAAATCATTACTGAAGTTTCGATGAACAGATTGAGCAGTGTGATCAAGCCAAATATTTCCCCTACACAAACTGCCTTAGTTGTGCCACATGACTGCCTTTATTAAATGGAGATATATTATGGAGGGGTGATGATGCCACATGAGGCCCTAAATACTACCCATCATAAAAAAACAAAGTGCACTCTTATTCAAGGTGGACTTTGAGAAGGCTTGTGATAAGGTAAAATGGCCATTTGTTTACAAAATGTTGAAATTAAAGAATTTTCCTGACCAATGGTGTGACTTGGTGATGCACACTATGATTGTGGGACATGTAGGAGCCAAGGTAAATGATATGAGTCATAAAGAGTTGAGACAAGGGGATGCCATGTCTCCCCTGCTATTTGATTTAGTTGCTGATGTCTTGGCCATTATACTAGATAAAGCCAAACAAAATGGTTTTGTTAAAGGGGTAATGTCCGAGTTTCGTAATAATGGTGTGAACATGCTTCAGTATCCAGATGATACCATATTTCTTATACAAGATGATGAAGAAAGTGCTAGAAATTTAAAATTCATTCTGAGTGTAGATATCAGGATTGACTATTAATTTTCGCAAGAGTGAGATATTTTGTTTGGTGAGGCTATTAATAAAGCAGAAAAATATCGGGAAATTTTCACTTGTGAGCTTGGGAAAATGCCATTGAAATACCTAGGTTTACCTGTTTCTGATGTGAGGCTAGGGAATAAGTTTTGGAAGACTATTACTAAGAAAATTGAAAAAAGATGTGCCTATTGACAAGGGAGATTATTAAATATAGCAGGTAGATTGATCTTGTCCGGTCCTGCCTATTTAACATACCCATATATATGATGTCTTTTTATCCCTTACCTGCTGGAACTAGAAAAAAAACTGATTTCTTCAGAGCTAGACTGGTCTGGCAGGAAAATGAGGACAAGAAGAAGTATCATTTAGTCAACAGGAAAACCTGATGCCTCCCAAAAAACCTAGGGGGTGGGGGATTGGGGATCTTAAATCTAGAGCTTATGAATAAAGCTTTGCTAGCTAAATGGTTTTGGTAACTTGAAACTGATGAAGGAATCTGGATCGATATATTACTTAACAAATATGTGAATGGCAAATGCATTTCTAGCATTAGGAAAAAACCAGGAGATTCTCGGTTTTGGGGCAGCCTCGTGCAGGTTAAAAATCTTTATTATCAACATGTTAAGAAGCTGATGGGTGATGGGAGGAACACTAGGTTTTGGGAAGATTGGTGGGTAGGTTCCAAACCTCTAAAGGAGGCCTACCCCAGTTTATACAACATTAGCTTTGAGCAAGATATCTCTGTTGTAGAGGCTATTGAAAGGGGGTGGGATAATTTTACTTTTAGAAGAAGTTTACTTGGAGATAAGGCTGAGCTGTGGGCTAGTCTGAAAACTAGATGTGACGAGGTTAGAATGTATGGAGGCAAAGACAAACCCTTGTGGATGTTTACCAATGATAGAAAATTCCCTGTGAAATCTATATCTTTTCCTAGTCAAATCTGATGCAGGTTTCCCACACAAGTTTTTGTGGAAAATAAAAAATCGAGCCAAGATTAAATGTTTTTCTGGTTGATTGTTCGTAAAAGACAGTTTAATCAAAAAGGGGTGGAAAGCAAAAAAGAGTGTGTTTACTCTGGACAAGATGAAAGTATAGATCACCTGTTCTTTAATTGTTCTGCTACCAGGCTTATATGGAGCTTGGTGAAGTGCTCTTGTCATTTGGGATCAGCTCCCAGTGGGTTGGATGATTGTTGAATGTATGGCCAAAAACCTTTCAGAAATTTGAAAAAAAAACTAATCTTAGTTGGAATTTCTGCTATGTTCTGGTCCATTTGGAAGTGTAGGAATGCTATTGTCTTTAGAACAAAACAAATTCACGATCCCATGATTCTTTTGAGGCTAATGTGCAACTGGATAGTTTACTGATCTATTTTGCAGATAAAGAACCCAAAGCAAAAGCTACTGATGCTAGGAGCAAAAATAATCGAGCGGGTGACAAATGAAATCTATCGTGCGTCGCAGGACTGAAGACCAGGGGTGCAAAGGCTGGAAAACTAAAAAAAGCGTTGGGTTATCTTTCCTTCGTCTATCGTGGCGACGATGGATGTGAGCTACCTGTGTATCTTGACTTCTTCAACGATTTATGTCTATGCATATGCTGTTTTCGTCTAGACTTTGTTTATTGCTTTCAATCCGCGGGTTGCGCCCCGTAGTGTGTGGATTGTGTTATGTTATGTCGTCTAAACCTTTGAACTTGTCTAGCTTCTGGTAGATTAAATAGATTATGGCCTGGATTTGTGATATATGATATCCTTTTGATGGTTTCGCTAATGAAATCGGAGGAAACCCTCTCTTTTGATAAAAGGAAAATCGATTGAAAGTGTTTCAAAAAAAAAGTCACACAAGACTACCAGAGTCCCCAACGGGTCATCTGGGATCAGACCCCGGGTCCTGACCCCTTTCAGTTCAACACGAATAAACGCGACAGGGAGGGGAAAAAATCTTATACGACCGGGTCAGGGAGAGAGAGGAGAGCAGAGAGGGGAAGGCGATGGGGGCGGCGAAGAGAAACGGGGGTGAGAAGGGGCTCCTCTGGAGGCTGCCGGAGGTCACCTCAAGGGAGCTCGGCAAGATCGGCCCCGCCTTCGGGCTCGGCATAGGCTGCGGCGCCGGCGCCGGAGTCGGCTTCTTCGGCGGTAAAACCCTCCTCCTCCTCCTCCTCCTCCCCCTTCCTGTACAGTTCAACCTTTGTACTCCTTTCTTTCCAGCTCCTTGTTTCCGCGTTACCCTGCGCTCTTGGCGGGCTGATTGATTCGGCGGATTGTGCTACTTGAGCGCCATATCGCTTCCGTGCCCTGGTTTCTGTCTCGTTGGTTGATTGGATGGTTATTGCCAGGTTCAGATGCTCCTGTCCTCCACGGTTCAAAATATTGATAATTGCTAGTAGTTCTTGTTCAGATTGTGACTTGTTTTGAAGTTAGTCATGATGGGGTTTAATAGAGCAGGGCTAGGGTTTGCTCTCGGACTCATCTGGTTAGAGCAGCCTCATTAGGGAGGCATACATGTATATAGGCATATATGACACAAATTTCTTAATGGGGATGTTTTCACAGATTGGGATAATTTTGTTTAATGCGTCGGCAGTAATTTTAGATACTTATGGCTTGGCAAGTGGTGTAACAACATTGGACTTGGATGTATGACAATTTGGCTTCCGACGGTTTAGCCAAGGTTTATCCTAATTACTGCGCCCAGATAGTCCACTTGCCTGTATCATTAAACTTTCTGACAAATACAGTGTAGACTGAATAGCGTGTTGGCCACTTGAACTCTGAGAATTTAAGATGTGTCATCCAAGACATTCACATCATCACAAGAGACACCAATGCATACATAGCTAAAATATCATTAAGGCAAGATCGATGGTATGAAAATTATTGTAGTTTTATTTTCTGTAAATGTTAAGGAATGTATTATAAGTGCTGTTCAAAGTGTATTATTAAACACTTGGGGCCCATTTTAAAATTTTGAGCAATCAAAACTTTTAACTTTTCTTACTTTGTTGCTTTAGATAATTGTCGATGTAGTGTGTAAAGAAGTAAACATGACGATGCAAGCAAGAATATTGATCTATTCAAGTGGTTAGCTATTACTGAATAACACTTCAGTAATTGTATAGTGTGCCCCTATACAAATTGAGACAATGTTTCTTCTCTCCAAACTATAGTTGCAACTATAGATATGCCATACTCAATTGGGTATATTTCTTGTATGAAATTTATAAATTCTGAAAGTTTTGTAGTTGTTAAAAGTGTGATCATTGAATGGTATATCACATGGTGAGATCTATTCTTTTGCTCCCTTGTCGTTTGCTATCAGAAATATAAGGTAGAAGAATGCTTGCATATTTATTTTCTTGCATTGAAATAAGCTTAAGATGGCATACCGACAAGTTTTTTAATGCGTAAAAATGTTGAGCTCTTTTTTTTCCAAAGCTAATCCATCTTTTATATACAGTTCATTGATTCATTGGAATCTCCTCCCTCCCCTATTGTTTGTCTCATTTTTTTAATGAACTCTGTATAATTTTATCTTTTTCATGAATAATGTAGGTGCAGGATTAGGTTATGGATTTCCTGGACTCACTTTAGGCTTCGGAGTTGGAGCTGGCTGCGGTATAGGATTTGGTTTTGGTTATGGCTTGGGCAAAGGAATTGCTCGTGATGAAAAGAAAAGACATTCAAACGTTGGTAAAATATTCCAGGAAACTCCAAATCTGCCTAAGTAAGTACTGTATGGGCATGAAATATTTAGAGGGATTTGTGCAACAGACATTCCTATACGTGCTATGCCTTGTTGCCTAACCTTGTAATATCTATTATCTTTGAAGTTTTTACTCTAGTTACAGTTGGTCATGTAAGTGAATTTGGAAGAAGAGCAATCTGGAGGGTAAAGTGGAATTATACCAACTGGCTTGAAACAAACACTCCCAGTAGTTGCTAAAAGAACAACAGAAAATTGACTTGTGTATCTTTTTTTTATTGATGTTGTTTGAACTTAAAATACGTAGCTTACCAAATGAGATTGGAGAAAGAACCTTAAACAAGCTTTGCTTATGCTTTGAAATGAAAAGATATCTTCAAGCATTCCCACATAATAGTTATCCAAACTGGGGTGATTGGCAGTTTGACTGGAATACCCCAGAACAAGAGCTTTACTCAGTATTGCAGTGTGAAAGACAAAAGGAAGAAAATGAACAGAGTGGTCAATTCCATGCCAGAGCCAAATCTATTTTAACTTAAGCTCCATCCTGGCCCACATTTGGCATTACAATATGACCTTATAGTTATATTATTTTACCGTAACATATTAGCACCTAAGAGTGTTCAAGTATGGATTGATCCCAACACGTCCAAAACCGGCTGTGAAGCCATAGTTCATTTTCCTTCTTTCCATGTGATGTCAGCAGTGGTGCCATTTCGAAAATTTATATGCGATGGTTCACTAATGACTGGTTGAACTGAGACCATTTTTGAACACCCCTATTAGCACTACTTGTTTCGTCCAGACTCATAAACTATACACATATTATAGGCATGCAACACTTGATTACTTGAACGCCTAAAATGAAGTGGAAATATTTAGCGATAAGTGCAAACCATGGAAAACCACACCAATTTTTTTGTGTTCCTCACTAAACATTGTAAAATGGCATTTCTATGGGAACTAATGCTAACTTAATGATTGTGTCGTGTCTTGCTGAAAACGATCCCGAAAGGCCGAAACGGTGCAAATTGCCTGGAGGAATCTAATCACACAACCTAATCCCTGAAGCCTGAACCCACGAGCTTTTAGAGGACCAGTGCAGATTCTTCACAATCTCATTCTCTATCAGGATGGTAACAGGTGCAACAGTGGGATATTTGAAGTGACATCCAAGTATCTCGTGTACGCATAATGTAACTATGCCCACAAAAACAAACAAAAATAGCATCTCATTCGTGACTTCTGACATAAACTACAATATCAAACTGTGCTATTACTCTATTTCTGACAGCATGAGGGTTTTGAATAAATAGACCTGGTAGGATGTTACAGAAAACAGATTTGTTAGTATTAATTTCAGAATTTGAGCTATTTCAGCACTAATTGTTTGAGATTCTGTTTTATATGAACAAAAACTGCATTTTTTCTCGTATTAGACATAACTTAATCAGTTTTGTTTTGTCATGGTTAAAAATCAAGTTGAGGCCCCAACACTACTCATTCCTCTCTCAGTTAATGCACATGTGTTTTACTGCACTAATATGCCAACATTTCTGAAAATTGTAGTCTAAAATAGAACATAATTTGATTTGATGTTTACTTTGAAATCTTGAAGATCTGTGCAAGTTCTCTGTTTGGGATGAGAAGGAAACTAAGTATTATATCACCCTCGCATAACTTAATCTTTGTTTCTCATGGTTGAAATTCGTCAAGTTGCTACCTTATGGCATTTGCCACACCCGGAAGATAACTTCAATTTGCATGCAAAAGAATGTGTATTGTTCCATGGTTGCTCACCCTTTCCTCCTCTTCTCTATTCCAGGGACACCATTGCCGGTTTGTTTGACGAGTTGGTTGTAAACACCAAAAAGCTTGCCACCGCAACTTCAAAACAGATTGAAAAATGGCACTGAGCTGCACCACCAGATGGCTGCTGCTATTTGCTATCTTAGATGGTGATTAGTTGGATAGAGACTACCGTGTCACATTAATATCCCATTTTGAACATTTGTAAGTAGGTTTGTATTCAAGTAGGGTTCTGACATTATGCTATAGGGATTGTTTGAAATTCTGGAAATGTTGAACATTGTGGTAGTTAAGAAAGAAAATTCAAACCGATGAAGATTTTTATGATCGTTGTACATGTCGGCTTATGTTCTGTTACTGGTTTTGCTCATCTCATCTGCTAAAACTTGAGCCTGATTTGGTGCTGTCAAATTGTGATGGAACTCTCGGGGGTGTGTGTGGTCTGGAACTCTTGTCTTGGTTCTCTCCATCTCTCATTGGATATCTGTCCCTATCTGTTATGTTTGGACCAATTGGTATCTCATGGCTCCTGATAAACGAGATAGCAAGCGGCCCTAATGGTGCCACATCAGCACCCTCATCTGCCAAGTCAGCACATACCGCCCAATCAGGCCCAAGCAACAGATAGCCCTCCTGAATACTGAGCCAATCACAGCCCCCTTGGCCTATCCTTGATGGGCCCACAACATCCTCCAATCCTCATTTCCAACCATTTAAACTACCCCACATTTCCCTCCACAACCACCCATCACATCCTCCCTTCTTGCTGAGCTGAGCACGCCCCTTCTCCCTCAACTTTGGGCTCGAGGCAATGGCGGCGCTCGCTCCGACGAAGATGCTCGGCACCCGGCTCAACTTCGCCGGCTCCTCCAGGTACGCCACAGCGGCACCAACTGCTGGCGCACAGAAGATCGTCTCCCTCTTTGATCGCTTCAAGAAGAAGCCCGCCCCGAAGCCGAAGCCCGCCCCCGTGGCCACCTCGAGCGTGGGCATCGACGACGAGCTCGCCAAGTGGTACGGTGAGTACAAAGAAATCTGACGGGCTCTCAGCTGAGATTTCACTCTTATCAGATAACTTGTTCAGTTCTGAATATTCGTGTGTGTCTAAATCTGTCTTCTATTTTGTTTCAGGTCCTGACAGGAGGATCTACTTGCCCAACGGTCTCCTTGACCGGTCGGAGGTGCCGGAGTACCTCAACGGAGAGGTTCCCGGAGAGTAAGTCATAGGCCTCAACTCCATTTACTCTACACACCATACACATCAGTCATGCTTTGTCATAGCTCTGCAAGAGCAAAGCACAATACTGTTTCCTTTAGCAGCATGGAGTACATCACAAGTTCTCACATAACTGAAATGCTCATGTATGTAAGCATAAGTGATATCCATCTGAACTAATTGCTTGCTTTCCCTTTGGAGTTGCAGCTACGGCTATGATCCTTTTGGCCTGGGCAAGAAGCCAGAGGACTTCGCCAAGTAAGTACAGACAGTAGTAATCTGCATTTTGCAAGTATAGACTAATCTGTGAAGTGTTCTGTCAAATTTCAGAACATATTCTCTCGACTAAGCGATCCTGCTCTACACCTCAATGCTGCAGGTACCAGGCCTTTGAGCTCATCCATGCCAGGTGGGCCATGCTCGGCGCCGCCGGATTCATCATCCCCGAGGCGCTCAACAAGTTCGGCGCAAACTGCGGTCCCGAGGCAGTTTGGTTCAAGGTAATTGCTGAATGCAGATCGTCATTTCTCACGGCTTCAGATTCAGAACTTTGGAAGTTTGAGCTCACGGTGCCATAAACAACATACATCCTGCAGACCGGCGCCCTGCTCCTTGACGGGAACACCCTCAACTACTTCGGCAACAGCATCCCCATCAACCTCATCCTCGCCGTCGTCGCCGAGGTCGTCCTCGTCGGAGGCGCCGAGTACTACAGGATCACCAACGGGCTGGTCAGTATCCTGAAACATAGATATGCGTTGCCGCAGCCAGGCGTCCTTGTAGTGACCAACGGTTTGGTCAACTTCTCCGGCAGGAATTTGACGACAAGCTCCACCCCGGTGGCCCATTCGACCCGCTCGGCCTCGCCACCGACCCCGACCAGGCGGCGCTGCTCAAGGTGAAGGAGATCAAGAACGGGCGGCTGGCCATGTTCTCCATGCTGGGCTTCTTCATCCAGGCCTACGTCACCGGCGAGGGCCCCTTCGAGAACCTGTGCGCGCACCTCAGCGACCCCTTCGGCAACAACCTGCTCACCGTCATCTCCGGCGCCGCCGAGAGGGTGCCCAGCCTGTGAGCTGGCCGTTTATTGCCCGTCCGCCGCCGTCGGTTGCTGATGATCAGCTGCGTGCGCGCGATGCAGCAGCATGTGCTGTGTGAATTTTACCGGGAAAAGTTTGAGAGTACGAATGTGCCGTACGTGTAAATTATCAAGGGCAGAAGAAACATGACCGTTCTGATTTCTGATGGGAGTATCGGACCACTGCTACTTGAGTAATTTCTGAAATGGTTTTCATCATCGTTAAAAACCAGATTGACTCTTTTTGAAACTTGATTGGTTAAGTCCTTGCATATATATAGTGAACCCGTTATCGATTAGTACATTGTATGCATAGATTACAAATATATTATTGCCGAATCTGAAGTGCTGGAATTATACCAAAATCTTACAGACTCTAGGCTATGTTCTTCACATATAGCAAAATTTCTATGTCAATAGTAATTTAAAAAACTTTTGTATATCACAAGAATATAAAGACAACATGTATGTATCATATAGACCGAAGTTGCAAATGCATATTGAATCCAATATTTGACATACCAAAAAAGAACTCAAAAATACTTCTTTGAATGGTATTTTCTAAAATACCATTGACAACAAATTCAAATTTGCTACTATTGAGATCAAATGCGCGTATTTTTAGTTTCTCCATTTTTGGATTAAAGTTTGATCCAAAAAGTTAGATGGGACAGGGTAAATGCATGCAGTCGTGATTGAAGATGAATACATTGGAAGTTTTCATGCAAAGAAAAAGAAAATGCATGCAGTATCAGTGCTTCCTAATTTTATTAAAGTTTTTCATGATTAATAGAGGTGCTACTAAAGTTCATGCATGGGCCCTCTAACACACTTGTATGTAAGGTGTCTTGCTTCTACCACCAATGGCCCATGCAAATAATATCTTACGGTGAGTTTGGTCCATGGTGCACATTGACCATGTTTACAATGCAATGGGCCAAGCTGACTTGGCCCATCAGAAGGCCCAAATCATCCATTGCCCTTTGATCATTTTTTCCTTTACTAAGGTTATTACATGTTTTCTTCTTCTTTTCATTTTTTAATACAGTGCAGACGCGGACGCTCATACATACGCACGTACACTCACCTTTACAAACGCACATACTCACACACATGCTGCATTCAAATAGTACATTTAGGGCAGTTTCATTATTTCTTGTTTTTTGCGGGGGTAGGACAGTTTTATTCAGAAGGCCGATTGCTCCGAGCATCCAACAGCCGAGGAGCCAGGCAGGCAACCAGCACGTAGCACCACCCTCTCCTAGTCTCCTGCAACGCCTGCAACACACGTTCTCTGCACTTGCCCACGACATGCAGCAGGCAGCAGCAGCAGCTGATCATCCCATCTCATCTCATCTCATCTCCTCGCCACGCTAAGCCAGCGCCCAGTGCGCAATAACTTGAGGATCAAAACATCCTCCTGGACTCTCTCTGGATTGCACAAACCACCACTTATTGGGGCTGGTGTTGCGCAAAACACCTACTATACGGGTTTGTTGCGGAAAACACCGCATATTGGTGTAATACATTGCAGATAGGTCTAATCTAGTATTTGGATGCATTGACATAATTACTGACAAATGGGTCCCGCTCGTAAGTGCACATGTGGCAATAAAACCGGCCACATCAGCCAACATATTAGACTGTCATTATCTCCAAAACCTGTGGTCCAGTTGAGCCGAAACTTTCCTAGATTAGTATTGAATATATGTAGTATTTACTGAAATTATTTCACATTTTTCTGAAAATGTCAAAAAAATTCACACTTTTCTAAAATTGTTAACTTTTGAACCCAAATTTAAATGAAGCAAGTTCGGCATGAGATCACCAACACAAAAACATGGTAGATATTGTTCCCATTAGATTTTAGCATCAAGTAGCTGGCATGAAAGTTGGATAAAGGATAATAATCAGATATGTTGCTGAAACAAAATTTATACCGACACAAGGGACAAGGCCTTAAACACATGTCAAAATCAAGCGCAGAACCTAAGTAATAACAACACAAACGTCCCAAAAAATAGGATCCTAAACAAAAATACATCGATCAACGGCAAAATTTATCCCCAAAAATGTAAGGGTTTCATGAGGGAGAAGAAGACCTAGGAAGATAGGGGAGAAGACGAGCATAGCTCAGGTGAGAGGGGGGTGCTTACCCGACGATTGGGTAACGGCTCCATCACCACTGATGGGATGGTCGCCGCCGCCTGCTGTTCCTATGCGGAAACTCTGTGCTAGGTCGTTCCTCTCTGCTCCGAAAATATATTTTAGAGCACCTACACCTAGGCCCCTCTTATCTAGCCATCCATTCTTCGTATCAAGATCCGTGCAAGTACATTTCTCTTTTTTGTTTCTATCACATAGAACATGTCTTCAAGTTAAAACCTTTGCAGAACAGTAAAGTCTTCAAGTTAAAACCTTTGCAGAACAGTAAAGCTTTCTAGCTAAAATCTAGGATAGTTTTTTTAGATTTTTCCGCCCAACATAAATATAAAAAATAAGTTTTATTTGATTAATATATATATATTTTAGTATTTATGTTGGACGAAAAATTCTGAAATTTTTATCTCACATTATAGTTAGTAAGTTTTGCTGCGCTGCAAAGTTTGAAGTTCAAAACATGTTCTATATGAGAGAAACGAAAAAGAGAAAAAATGCATATACAAATTTAGTTGTCTCGCACAGATCTTAAAGCAATATTGGAGGACCAGGATAGCAGGGCATGGGTGCAAGTGCTCTAAAAATCTGCGTCCCTCTTTGCTCGAGCCACTATGTACGAGATGGTTGTGTCTTGTTTCATCGACATCGGCTTTCAGTCCATCTATTTTTGTGAGTCGGCTTCCAGCCCACTTATTAAACAGTTTTTTTAACTCTGGTCTTTTCACTTCTTGGTCTAATATACATTGGCTGATGTGGCCGGGTTTTATTGTCACGCGTACACTTAGAAGCGGGACCCATTTCTCAGTAATTATGTCAATGCATCCAAATACTAGATTAGACCTATCTGCAACGTATTACACCAATATGTGGTATTTTCCGCAACAAACTCATATAGTAGGTATTTTGTGCAACACCAGCCCCAATAAGCGGTGGTTTGTGCAATTCCCTCCCGGGACGGAGGTTGAAGGCAGGATCGACCGATCGGAGCACCATCAATTCAGCAGCAACGCTCTTCCTCGTGTGGTCCTGCTCTGCTCGATCCGCCGTGATTAGCGCCCATCTCCCCGCCCTTGCGTGCACGGCTTTATGCCACCAGCAGCAGCAGGATCGCAGGCGCTCGTTGCTTCACCCTCACCCCCACTGGCGTGAGTGAATTCCTGCTGCTGCTGCTGCTGCTTTGTGCACTGTGATGCTACTACTGCCTCCAGTGGACCACCTCATATGCAATGCAGTGGATCACAGGATCTTTCTGATTTTCCCACACAAGTGTTCTAAAACAACACCTCGTTCTGCTCTCTCCACATGTGATTTAATTGCTTTTGCTCCTGTTTAAAGATTTGACTACACAAGCCGGTTGTGATGAGAAGGTGGATGGATCTCCTTTTCCTTGATTGGTTGGCTCGGCTGGTGCCAACTCAAGAACAACTGCCCTTGTCCTGTGGCGCGGCAGAGTTCACATGCATGCATGTTGCATGCAAGCATGCATGCGTGAGCTCTTCTCTTGCACACAAAGATAGGACGAGCCGAGCATTAGTGCTGCATCATCGTGTCCCTCCTTGGAGCACTTGTCACTCACTCTCCCAACCCTAACCCTAACCTATGGGTCAACTAGTAGGAAGCATGTGTACACCATGAAGCTAAAGCTAGGGGTGTTCGTCCTTTGATTATTCTTCTAGGGCCTGCTTCTCGTGCTTTCCTCTCAAGAAAGACTTGTCTTTGTGTCTTCTGACAGGGGAACCATAGTCCACAGAGTATACCCTAACTATTGTTATAGGGTAACTTCCAGAAAAAAAACTACGCATTGTTGTAGGGCTAGGCCGGGAGATGGATGAGATGGGAACAAGGCAGCAACCCCTCCAGCTTTTCTTACCCTATTCTTTCTCTTGACGTGGACGACGAGCTGATGCATGCGGTCAAGAGAAAAGTAAATGCTCGCCTCCCCTCCACGTCGATCAATATCAACATCAACATCTCGTATCATCATCCCTCTGCTATGCAACAGTAGCATGGCCTGTTCAGAATTTTATTTTATTTTTGTAGTAGTAGAGCGTAGTACTTGGGTGCCACCACAGCAATGAGCCAAAATGCACCACGCCGCTTCCTTGGGCTGCTACATTAAATTGGGAGAGTACTGTAGCAGTGAAAAAAGTTAAATGAGGTCTCGAAAGCACCAAGCTGTCATGCCAGAACGAGCATGGTATTTATTTAAGCCCCCCTCCAAATAAATTCCCCTGGCTGGCTTTAGCTCCTACGGCCTCTCACAGTCTCATTACGTCACTCAGCCCGTCTTTTCTTTTCATTTTTGCATGGATGGATGGATGGGTGCAAGATATATCTTCTGAAAACATAGTACCGCCACGTGCGCTCCCACTGAGCTGCAGCAGAGAAATGACACCACGCTGCAGCGTACGTACGGGTGGCCGCCCGTTCGTCTGATGCCCGTGATGCGTGTGCGTGTGCGCGCGCGCGGGGGGCGTATCCTGATCCCGGAATCCGGTTCCCTACGTAGCGCAGCCGATAAGCGTGGATGGATTGGCCGGAATCCCATCGTGGTGTACTACCGCGCGCTCGCTCGCTCGCACGCGCAGGATCACGCGCACACTCAAGCCGGGCGTCTGATGCGATTTGATAACACGGCCCGGCCCGGGAGGGATCCCGCCCCTTCTTCCTCCTCCGCTTTCTCGGTTTTTTTCCGGCGCGGCGGCCGATGCTATCTCTCTCTCTCTCTGTTCTCTCGGCGCCGCTGGAGAAAACTTTGCGACGCACGCACGGCCCCGTCCGTGCATGCGCGGTCAGTGCCTCATTAAACCCTCGTGCTGCCGCCGCTGGGGTTTCAG